TATTATTATTATTATTATTATTATTATTATTATTATTATTATTATTATTATTATTATTATTATTATTATTATTATTATTATTATTATTATTATTATTATTACCCTTAGGTCATTTTACATGTTAATCTAAACAATTAATTTTTTCAAATATCTTTTTACCAACCGTTGATATAATTCGCTCATCAAATCCGCTAAAATAATCCGCTAACGCTAACCGCTAACTGCTGATTGTCAAACAAAGACATTGCGATGTAATTCTCACTTCAATTTCTTGAGGTCGGGAGTTCTTAAAGTTGGGCGGTTGGCTTTATTAATTATTGGTAGGATATATCCCGATCGACATAGGTTGGGTTCATCTTGTTGTGTGTGCAGTTTCTTGAGGTCGGGAGTTCTTAAAGCTGGGCAGTTGGACCCGACCGGTAGGCTTCTCGACCGGAGTTGTCACCCGATCGTTGGGCCTTATTTTACGAAGAGGCGAGGTTCTCGAAGAGAAGCACGTGGCAATGTTACACGTTGACAGAGAGGGATCGCCGGGTGAATACGCGTGGACGCTACGCGGGTTACATGCCGGCTGGCCGGAGGTTTGTCTTCGGCCCAGCGGCTATAAGTACCCGCGGCGGCTACAGTGAGGGGGACTTTTGGAACGATCGATAGATTATCTACAAAGCTGCCCGACCGCAGTTAGTCGGCCCTCGGGATAATCACTTAGATTGTATTAGGTCACCTTCTTGATCAATAAAATACCTTTAATTGTTATTACTTGATCTCATTTAGTGCTTAGACCGCATACACGTGGAATTAGTACTATCAATTATAATTTTTTCATGGTATTAATAAAATACTTGGTAAATAAATATATAGCATTATTTTGTATTTTAACTTTGATATTTAATTAAAAAATAGTGCACAAAAAAAGATAATAGACAATGTAGTGAATATAATCAATTGATGAATTTGAATGTAAAGAATTTTTACATTGGGAGAAATATAAAGACAATATAACTAATAAAATTATTTCTCTTAATTAATTTATTGATAATGAATAATTTTTTTTTAATAAAGACATTGTAGGGACAATGTAGCGAATATAATCAATTGATGAATTTGAATGTAACGAATTTTGATATTTGAGAAAAATAAAGACAATATAACTAATGAAATTATTTCTCTTATTTAATTTATTGATAATGAATAATTTTTTTTGAATAAAGACATTGTAGACACATAATTCTAAATTAAAGAAATGCATATGTATTATTTTTTGTTGGAGCTACTAAATTATTATTTAATTTAATAAGAGTAAAATAGAGTACTAATTATGCCAACTTTGATTGGGATGAAGTTTGAACCTAAGACCTTTATTATTGAAATCAATGAGTAAGTTAACGGTGAACTAACAGAAGTTAACGGAAAAGTTAACGGATAATCATATTCATTAAGGATAAATTAGAAAATTTTAAGGAAAAATTAAAATCTGATCAATCAGAGCCATTCATTTGATTAAAAAATTTGACCGCCATATATATATATATATATATATATATATATATATATATATATATAGTACAAGTAGATATTGAATTTATATTATTATTTGTGTAAATGTTCAAATCTTCCGTACTCAAATAATATACCTTAAAAAATGAATCTCTAATATATTAAAAATATATTTTATGTCAATGGTCTATTTTACAACGTGGAACATGGTGCATGGTATAACAATTGATTTGGGCAAATTATTGTGTGGACTATGGTTTACATACTTGTATGGACCATGAATACAAAGTACATTTTTAATATACTAAAAGTGCATTATTTTTGTACTGAATGTATGTACATTATAAAATAATGTACTTTCATTACTAAAATATTGTACTTTTAAATAATGTACTTTTAGTACATTGGAAATGTACTTTTTTATTTAGACAGATGTGTCAAATAGACCCATCTACTACTGCTAAGTGCTCAATTCCCACCACGAACTAAATGAAAGTCTAATCAGCTACACTTACTAGCTAAATTTGTTCCATTGACTTTTTGTTTTTTGCAGGTTGCTAATCGGTTGCCTATTCAATTATTTAAAAAAAAAATTAAAAAAAAAAAGAAGAATTTCAGCCATCGGCTGTCCGTCCGGCGAGGACAGTCGGATAGCCACAGCTATCAAACATGAGGTTCTGCCTGGAAGGTTGCCGCCCTCATTCCAAACGGCCATGGCCGTCTAAAAAAATTTTGAATTTCTTTTAGACGGCCATGGCTGTCTGGGGACGGCCATGGCCTTTTGGAACGAGGGCGCCGCCGCCCTCGTTCCAGGCCGTCGTTTGAGGTCCAGATCTGAATCTCATGTTTGACAGCTGTGGCTGTCCGGCTGTCCTCGCCGGAGGACAGCAGGTAGCTGAAATTTCTTTTTTTTTTATTATTATTATTTTTAAAATAGTTGAATAGGCAATCGGGTGAGCAACCTGCAAAAAAAACAAAAAAAAAAAAGCCAATCGAACAAATTTAACTAATAAGTGTGGCTGATTAGACTTTAATTTAGTTTGTAGTGGGAATTTAGCACTTCGCAATAGTAGATGAGTCTATTTGACACGTCTGCCTTTTATTTGTGGTTCACACAGTTGTATGGACCATGGTCCATGTAATAATGTTTGGTATAATAAGCTTTGAAATTGACCTATGTCTGATCTTTTTGCTAGATAATAACATTAAGACTAACATAAACTGTAGTAAACGAGTAACCTGCCTCGTTACAGCGGAAGCTTTAGGATCGCCCGGATATCCCCAGCCATAGTCATTGGTATTGCCACGAGATGGTAAACCTGCAGAATAAAGGTTAGTGTCGTTTTGTCTACCACTTCTCTCCTGAATACGTGATGGTGCGTGTCCTGAACACGGGAGCTGTGGGAGGACTATTTTGCTTAGAAGCCTACATGCCATCAACATAGGCAGATATTCAGTTAAAGCTTAACTGAATATCTTGAGTTGCATAACAGATTAAGTCACTAATTGACTCAATCTCCTACTTGCACCACAGTCACCCAATAATACAATATATTATAATATATTGTATTTAGGGAAAATACTTACACTTTTTACTAAACAAGTTAGGTCTAACTAATTCTTAATTAAGTTAGGACATAGGCCCATACAAGGGACTTGGCCTATTCCTACCCTTAGCTTAGGAGACGGGAGAGAGAAAGGTTTGGTTCCTTTGTGATTCGCAAAAAGCAATCGTTATGCCTTGGACCCGTGTCCAGCATGCTTGCTGGACACGGGTAACAGTGCCGTTAGGCACTGTTATCTCCTTTTTTTTTTTTTTTTTTTTTTTTTTTTTTTTTTTTTTTATAATTTCATATCACTTTGTCATAGAAGTATATGTTCATAATTTTATTACTATATGTTAATAACTATACATTCATAACTCCATAACTGTACGTTCATAACTCTATAACTGTACATTCATAACTCTATAACTGTACATTCATAACTTCATAACTGTACATTCATAACTCCATAATTGTACATTCATAATTTTCGAAGCTCTATGTTCACAATTTTAGAGCTCTATGTTCATAATTTTATCACTATATGTTCATAATTGTAAGTTCATAATGTTAGAGCTCTTTGTTCATAATTCGATCAATAACTGTACATTCATAATTCCATAACTGTAGATTCATAACTCCATAACTGTAGATTCATAACTCCATAACTGTAGATTCATAACTCTATGACTGTACATTCATAATCTTCGAAGCTCTATATTCACAATTTTAAAGCTCCATGGTCATAATTTTATCACTATATATGTTCATAATTGTAAGTTCATAATGTTAGAGCTCTATGTTCATAATTTCATAATTGCATAACTGTACATTCATAACGGCATAACTGTACATTCATAACGGCATAACTGTATATTCATAATCAAAAAAAAAATAACGTCGTTAACGGCAAAACACGCGCGAATTTTTTTTTTTTTTAACTAAATGACGCGTTTTTTTTTAAAAACGACGTCGTTTTGGGCCCGTGTCCACAATTCAATGTGGACACGGGTCCAGAGCATAATTTGCCCGCAAAAAGTGGTTGACTGGACTAATAAGAATTTGGAGGTGATGGGCCCGATCTGTGGAATCGTTCATGAATGCAAGAAGTGGATTACAAGTGACTGGGAGGTGAAAATTTCTCATGTTCCGAGAGAGTTTAATATTGTGGTTGATTGGCTTGATAAATTTGCACCGAGAAGGAGATGCTACTGGATTGAGGCTATGGAGACCCCCACCGAGATGACGGGGCACTTTGAGATTGATAAAGTGCATATGGTGCATCAAAGAAATGCCAAGAGAGCTAGGCTAGGTGCTTAGCTTGGGTTTTCCCCTTCTGTTTTTCTCCATATATATATATCTTACTCAAGATTTGAAGACCAAAACTTTCAACACACCCCAACAGAGCCATGGTTTGAACTTTGAAGCCCTGTTTTCAGGGTGGTTTAGGGTTTGGTGTTGCGTGAGGAGCCTGGAGGGTGTGATTGAGTGGAAGGGACTTATCTATTCTTAATCAAAGATCAAGGGTTCGATCCTTGACTTTGAGAATAGAGCAGCCTTAAATCTCCAGACCAGCTGTCTCACTCAAAAAATGTGTCAATCTCCAGACCAACTGTCCCACTGAAAAAATGTGTCTACAACTCAACAACTAAATTAGTCATTGTGTCTGAAAGTAAGAATATAATACCTACTCCAGATCTTGATATTTTAGGAGCAACATTAATAATGAATTGAATAATTCTTGTTTTTTTTCTTGATTTAATTCCCGAATAAAAAGAAATCAGATCACTACTTGATTGAGAATAAAAATGAAAGAAGTTCCCATAAATAAGATGATATATATAACAATAATACAACATTACACCCAGAAATACTTATAGATGGCTGCAGGGTGGCTTAATTTATTTAAAAACTCAAATACAACAAAATATATATATATATATATATATATATATATATATATATATATATATATATATATATATTTAACACTTGGGAGTAGGCACACCACAAGCTGAAGCAACTTTTTTAGCATTGGGAGAGTTAACAAACTGTCTAAGGGTTGGATTTTTAAGGTATCCGCAAAGGCACGGCTTCTGCTCCTTCAGTTTACTGCAACATGCCGCCGACGGCGGCGTCCCCGATATGATTGCAGACGCGCATGGGCTCAGCTCCGTCGCGCTGCACGTCACCGCCTCGCTCACCTCTAGTTTTCCGATAAGCATCGCCGCCGCCATGATTATGTAGACCGCAACTAGTGTATGCCCCTTTCTCGCCATCTTCAAGTGAAATGAAATAGGAGGGACTGAGGGATGGTATGGAGTGGAGTACTAGAGAAGTGGAGGGTTAGAGGAGCTAAGATGTTTCTTTATTGTGTGGTGGTGGAGAGTGGAGTGAATGTTTTGGATGATGGGGTTTTAAAGTGATAGAAGTTTTATAATTGAAAAGGTAATATTGCACTTTCAATTTTTTAGTGAAAGTTCTGGGAGCCTACTTATAAACTTTGTTTATGTGTAATAATCATATGGGTAATGAGGGAATGAGTTAATACTTAATTAAGTGTTTTACACTTTTACTATAGTGATTTTTTTCGATTTAGTCATGGACATCTTTTTATGTTTAATATATAATTAGGTTTTGGACTTCGAAAGGTTTACCTAATTGAGCGCACAAATGTTAGAATCAGGGATTAAATTTAGAAAATTGATATAATTGAAAACTAAATTGTGTAAAACTACTAAGTCGATGATTAAATTGAGCATAAATAGAAGAAAAATTACCAAGCTATCATAACAAAGGACTCAACTAGGTAGAATCATCAAAATCTAAGATCCAATTAAGCACAATAAAATGTTTAAGACTAAATCGAAGAAAATCACTATAGTCGATAACTAAATTGGATATTAACTATGAGGAAAACCTACAACAATTACCCATAGTTGTACGGAATAAATCACACTCCGGTGTAGTAAGTCTACAAATCATATACAAAAGAAACTAAATCACATTTATTTTTATTTTATATTTTATCTTTTAGTATTTTCCTATTTCATATTTTCATTGATTAAAAAAATGTTGGATACAATCAGAAAGTGTGAAATAAAATTTATTATCCTAACTAAAGTGGTGGGGAGCGGTGGAGTTTTGCTTGATTGCTCCATTGACTTTGACATGGAAAATGATGCACATGTAGTGGGTAAATTCGTCCAAAATTTCTTATGTCGGAAAGAGACGTGTGTCTGTGTGCTTTGAAAACTGCCAAATAATTAGGTGAATAATCGAAGAAAGAGAGATTTCGTATAAAATATTTTGAATTAATTTCACTTTTTGTCCCACGACTTTTGAGTTCTTATCACTTTTGGTGCACAACTTTAAATTTTTTCAATATTGGTGCCTAACTTTGTTATTTTTATCAGTTTTGGTCATTCCGGCCAAATTGACGGTAAAATATTTCCGGATTTTATATTTTAGGGGCAAAATCGTCATCACATGGAAAGATCTTCAATATTTAAACAAAAGAAAAATCATATTAAGAGGAAAAGAAGAGTTTTCCAATGGTCGAAACTATAAATCCCATAGATCTGTCTGGTTTCTGTCCATCTTCCCCATTATTCTCATCATCAAACACCTATAGATATGATTTTACGGTGATTTTGTTTAGATATTGAAGATGTTTCCTTGGGATGACGATTTTACCCCTAACAATATAAAATCCAGCAACATTTAGCTGTCAATTTAGCCGAAAGGACCAAAATTGATAAAAATAACAAAGTTATGCACCAAAATTAAAAAAATTTAAAATTGTGCACCAAAAGTGATAGAACATCAAAAGTTGTGGGACCAAAAGTGAAATTAATTCAAAATATTTTTAACTTTTTATTTGGATCAACTCTGTCACGTTAATCGTTACTATTACGACTCTATGTATTTGAGTTTGATTATGATTTCATATCTCAATCTATATGAGACTTTCTTATATATATGGTATATTTGTAACCTGTACATTGTTTTTATCTATTCAATACACAACTCTATTAGCTCTCAACTAGTATCAGCTAAGCTAGTATTTTCTTTTCAATGGTTGACGGATCTGTTAATTACTCTGAACGGACCGTCTCTAATGGTCCTTTCTCTTTCGCTACGTCGGTGGTTAATTCTTTATCCACCGCTCACCACTTCATAAGCATTAAGTTGACCTACGAGACCTACCTATTTTGGAGAGCCCAGGTTGTTCCGTTTCTTGATGGTAAAGATCTTCTTGGACTTGTTGATGGATTCACTAGTTCGTGTGTTCTTGATTTAATTTACACAGACATTTGGGGACCTGCTCCCATTCTTTCTACTAATGGATATCGTTATTTCGTTATTTTTGTTAATGACTACTCTCGTTACGCTTGGTACTTCCCTATGTCACAAAAGTCTGATCTTTATGCTATCTTTGATAAGTTTCGGGCTATGGTTGAACGTTCCTTCAATCGGAAAATTAAATCCATTCAGTCTGATCTAGCTAGGAGCTGAATACAAAAAGTTACACTCCACTGTGGCTTAGTTAGGCATTCTTCATAGACAATCATGTGCGTATACTCATGAACAGAATGGTCGTGTCGAAAGAAAGCATAGACACATTGTTGAAACTGGTCTAGCTCTCTTATGTCGTGCATCCATTCCATATAAGTGTTGGGATTATGCTTTTGAGACTGCGGTTTATTTAATTAATAAAATGCCATCTGTTGTGATAAATAAATCCAGTCCTCATCTTCTATTACATAAATCCCCTCCATCCTATTCTTTTCTTCGTGTCTTTGGTTGTCTGTGCTATCCTTATTTGTGTCCCTACAATCGTCATAAGATGCCTTACAGGTCTTCTCCATGTTTCTTCCTAGGTTATCACGAGTTATTTAGGGGGTATATGTGCATGGACCTTCAGACTAACAAGGTATATATATGCAGGCATGTTCGGTTTGATGAGAATGTTTTCCCTTTTGGCAAGACAGTTTTGCAGGCACCACTAGTTCAAATGACTAAACTAGCCTCGCCTGAACCGGTCCCGGCCAGCAGCGATTCCATCCAGTCAGAACCGACCCAGGATGGGCCCTCGACGGACACCAAACCTGCTGCCGCGCAGTGATGCCGTGGCCGGTCGAGAAGTCGGTCGTTGCGTCCCACGGTTTGGACTCACTCCATGGCCACTCGTAGTCACACGCTAATGGTTCTGTTCTCTCTTGGCTCTATCAGCTTAGGTTAGCCCCACTGAACCTACTTGTTATACACAGGCTGTTAAACATGATGAATGGCGCAAGGCAATGGATGATGAATTTAATGCGCTCCTTCATAATGAAATCTGGTATCTTGTCCCATCTCAGTCTAATATGAATACTGTTGGGTGTAAATGGGGTTTTTGCACCAAAAGGAAAGCTTATGGGACAATAGAACGCTGCAAAGCAAGGTTGGTAACAAAAAGATTTAAACAGGTACCCGGTCAGGATTTTTTTGACACCTTCAGCCCAGTGGTCAAACCAACTACTATCAGATTACTTCTATCTTTGGCTATATCCTCTGGTTAGGATATCAAATAGCTTGATGTGCATAATGCTTTCTTGAATGGGTCTTTATCTAAGACTGTTTATATGAAGCAACCACCGGGATACATTGATAAACAATTTCCCAATCATGTTTGTCTATTGAAATGTTCCATATATGGAGTAAAACAAGCCCCCAGAGCTTGGTTTAATCGCTTACATACCTTCTTGATGGCGGCAGGTTTTAAAGCTTCAAAAACAGATGTATCTTTGTTTTACTACTCATAGGGTTCAGGTTTCATTTATGTTCTTGTTTATGTTGATGACATTCTTGTAATGGGCAATGATCAAGGTCTTATCAGCTCCCTTCTAATTGCTCTATCATCTGCATTCAAGATTAGGGATCTTGGTGAACCTGGTTTCTTCCTAGGGATTGAAACAATCAAGTGTAAGGATGGAATTTTGCTCTCTCAACAAAGATACATGATAGATATCTTAAACCGTGCTGGCATGACAGACTGTAAACCTCTAGCTGCTCCTATATATGCTTCTAAACCCACTATCTCCAATGCTGATATATATGACGATGCTACACATTATAGAAGTCTGGCTGGTGTTTTACAATATCTTACAGTTACCTGCCCAGATATGTCCGATCTTTTGCAGTAAATCAGTTGTGTCACCACATGCATGCGCTTACAGTCTCGCATTGGGAGCAATTCTAATCTAAGGTATATAAAGGGAACTATCACTTCTGGATTGCGAACTTAGCAATCAATATTCAGAGAATTACATGCTTTCTCAGATTCTGATTGGTTTGGCTGTCCTGGAGATCGTAAATCAAGCAGTGGGTATGCAGTTTTTCTTGGTTCTAATCTTATATCGTGGGTATGCAAGAAGCAACAAACTGTTGCTAGATCATCTACTAAAGTTGAGTATAAAACTTTAGCAGATGTTTGTGCTGAGGTAATCTGGACTCTCTCGCTCCTACGAGAAATCAACATAATCGATGTGCCCACTCCCAAGCTTTGGTGTGATAATCTTGGAGCTACGTATATGTGTGCAAATCATATTTTTCATGCTAGAACCAAGCATATAGAAATTAACTATCATTTTGTTAGAGACAAAGTTACGAATGGTGATATACAGGTTAATTTTATTTCAACCAAAGATCAGTTGGCTGATATCTTTACAAAGGCCCTATTTAATTGGTCCTCGATTCTCGTTTCTTTGGGACAAGCTACGAGTCACTAGTGTACCTTGTGCTTGAGGGGGAGTATTAGGACTCTATGTATTTGAGTTTGATTATGATTCACTATTCCAGTCTCTCTGAGACTTCCTTCTTATATACACTTGTAATCTATACATTGTATTTATCTATTCAATACACAACTCTAAATTAGCTCTCATCGTTACAAGACATATGGGATTAAGGGGTGCTTAATAATAATCACTTAATAGCTAATTCTGTTAGCGGAAAGTTAATTGTACTTGTTTTGACCAGTTAAAAGTATTAACGGTTCATAAAGAAGTGTTTAATAAATTATATAGTTGTTTATTGTTAGCTTGTTAGATACAAAATGACTTATTAGTTACTCTGGTAACGTTCGTTCGCGGGCTAATTTACCATATTGATCTGTCCAATTAGTTCAGTTTAGTTTAACATCTAGCAAGACTAGTTAATAGGACTATATATATATATATATATATATATATATATATATATATATAGAGAGAGAGAGAGAGAGAGAGAGAGAGGTTGGCGTTCCCATGAGGTCTCTACTAAAAGTGACAAATTGATGGTTGAGATTGAAATATATATATATATAGAGGTTGGCGTTCCCATGAGGTCTCTACTAAAAGTGACAAATTGATGGTTGAGAT